ATGTTATAAAATAACTTAAAAGTGATCTAATCATGCGGTGGCATACTGTTTGACTAACTGACTTTGTTCCAGGTATTTGGTTTTCAAGCAGCACTGACTTCTTTGGACAGTAAAGGATTATACTGCATCCCTGTTCCAGTTATCCCCTCATTCAGTACTGCTCTTTATGGCAAGCTGATCAAGTTTCCCAAATATTGGTGAGCATTAAGCCTGAGCATTAAGTGTTTAAGTAATGCACAATTACTTAATTAGTAATTAATTACTTAATTAATAAGTGATTTTAAAAATGCAAAGCTTCATATATATCCCTAAACTTCTCTGTCTTAACTGTCATATTCTACTATTGTTTGTTATTATTAATAAGTTTCTTTGTAAGGATTGCTGGTAATAAACATTTTAGACTGTTGTTTGGCCAAGAGAACAGCCTACTCAAGCCCTGTGTTAAATGGCTTTCTTCTAGACCTTGAAGATTTCTAGAAGCAGTTTCCACTCTGAGTTACATCCTGCTAGCAAAGCTTGATGTGTTTAAACAGGTCACCTCTTACTGTTTTAAACTCAACCAAATTAAAAGCAACAAGTTGGGGGATTAAACCCCAAAACATCCCAACCCCACAAAGTCTCCACTGCACTTGTCTCTCATACCAGTTGGAAGTATTTTCATATTGTGATCAGATATTTTAGCTGTTTATTGTAGTTCATATGTTAAATGAGAACACTTTTCATCTGAAACAAAATCTGTGCATTATAATGAAATGAGCTCTATAAATTTTTTTAAACTTAGTTGTCATGGAAAATTCAGTATTTAAATTTATCTACAGTTTTAATTTTGTGGACGTAGATGTCAGTGCATTTATAAAATCTATTTTCAGGAAGATGCATTTTGGCAATAACTTTGGACAGGATATTATTTCTTTATCCCTCCTTTTGAGCAGTAGCTGTCTGTAATACTACTTTGACTAAACATGTGCAAAGAATTTTACATAAAATGACAAGAAAACCTGTTAATATGTTAAATACTTTGGCTTCAAACATTGTGTTGCATAGCTAATTTATAAGATACCTTTGTTTGTGAAAGCTTAATGGATTAAGAAAAAAGGACCATGTCTATGATTGTTTTTAGTGCCACCCAGAGAATATACTAATTTTTCTCTCACAGGCTGTGACACCATGTTGAATGTCAGAGGCTTTTAGCATTATCAGAACACCACCAGGTGGTAGCAGCCTAACTGACTTTGTCATATTTTTTATCAATAGTTTACAAAAGTATTAACCACTTCAAGTTAATTGCTGCTGTGTTGCAACATTTCGCTAACCTAACATTTCACACTAAGCTCTGGTTAGTGATCCTTGTTAGCAAACTGTAAGAACGAGTTAGTGTTTAATGGTAAATTTGAATTCATTTACTGTATTATAAATCCCGAGGTTAGTTATGCAAAATAAAAAAAAAATTATTTTCTGAACAAAAAATAGTTGAAGAAATCTATAATCTGACAAGTTCAAGTGCTGCTGCTTTCTCATGAGTGCTGTTCTGCAGGTGCTTGTGCTCGCTGTGCTCCATCTCTTCCTTGCTCGCCCATGCCTGGTGTCCCGTGCTTTTCCACATGTGCAGTTGCTCACTTGCCATCACGCTCTGCCTCACATGTTCATGGTCTCGCGCTCGCGTTGTCTCGCTCGTGCATTCTCTGATTCTCTCGTGGTTTCTGTCTCGCTCTTGTTTCTCTCTCTCTCTTTTAAAAATGCACTGTATTACGGTGTGTGCCCAGCTGGAAAATAAAGTATAGTAGATTAATAACATGAGAGAGCAGTAGTTTAGGGGAGTGGAGGCTGGGGAGTGGTCCTGCCTTAAAATAGCAAATCGTCTATCAGCATTTATCAGTAGATCTTGTAAGATCAACGCTTATTGTAATCTAGTGTATTTTAATATTTTTCTCACTTTTTTCCTATGATATGATATTTTTCTAAAGCTTATTTATTTATTTATTAACAGTACAAGATAATTATATAAAATGAACTTATTCCAACAATTTATCTAAACTAAGCAGCACCAATTTGTGAGTAATAAAGTAGAAAAACAAATGAGTACAGCAGCAACCTGGTTAAATGAAGTGTAGTTTGAAGTGAATAAAACTCCAGATGAAACACATCAAATAGCACTTCAACTAAATCGAAATCAGCATGAGGACTGAGAGCTTCATTGAAGTCATGCAGTGAATGAGAATTAGTCTGGTAGGATAACCTGGTAATGTCATTAAACTTAAATTCAATCCTCCCTCCCAAATTATACCACCTGCTTTATTTGGATTTGTGGATTTCACATTCCAGAGTTTCTTAAAGTACACACATCTGATGCTACATGTGTTCTTCTATTTCTTCGTTGCAAATATATACTGCAGACCCTACCTTTTAAAAACAAAGACATTTTATGAACTGTTATGGAATCCCTTAGGTAGTATGTTTTGAGTTAGCAGTGAAAATCTCAACTTTATTTCTGACATAAATCAGTAGAATAGCTTTCTTTTCTAGTTTCAGTACAATAATCTTAAAATGTATAAAGTGTATGAAATACTGTAGTAATATTAATTTTTAAAAACTGTTTGATAAACATTGGCAGGATATTTTAACAGATAAAATTTCAACAGCATCAGCCCAGTGAGTTCCAGTAAATAACCATAAACTGTCATAAAGTGTTGCTTTGTTTTTGTATTAGATTGATGTGTGTTTTAATTTCAGTTAATACTCTTTCTCTCTATAAAAGAATATGCTCAAACTCACTAGTTAACTAAGTCTTGGACATCTTTTAAATTGCATAGCTAATCTTTTTATTGGAAAGTATAAACCATCTGGTCTTTTGTTTTTGTCAAGCATAACAAGATGCAAAATACGTTCATGTCAATATTTTACAACTACTTTATGTAGTGTTGCATGTCAGATTGTAAAGCAGCTTTCAGAGCTTTTAGGAGGACGTCTAAAACCAACTGAGAATTAGCAGAATATGGTTAAAAGCCTAGAATGAAGGACAAAAATGTTTATTGCCAAACAGGAATTAGCTGATTTCTTTTTCTTTTGTTCTTTTGGCTACAGTGTCTGTGGTAACAGATGAGGTAATCTAGTGTAAGACACTTTAGTGTTATAACACTCTATCACTTATTAAATACCACTTTGTTGTACTTCTAAAGAATATTAAACTAACATTACACAATGTAGATTCTTAATAACCTTCCTTTTATTTTTCTGATATCTAAATGATAGTGAAGTGTCCTCTGTATATTTTGAGCTAGATATTGGTCCAGTTATTTGTGTTATTTTATTGCTTTGCTTTTCGTAACTGGTTCCTGACTCCCTTTTTTCTTTATCAGCATTTTGGTTTCTTACCTGACTTCCCGCATTTTATTTTGAATTTGTCACCATGTAGTTTTGAAATAGTTGTTTTGTACACACAATTTAGTTTCTCTTCCATTTTTAAACTTCAGTATTAACATTACAAAAACAGAGGATTCTAAAGCCCTCATTATTACTGTATAGGTTTCTGCTCGAATTTTTGTTACTGGGAAGTTGTTTATATTTTTATACAGCTTTGCTTCCATTTTCTTCCATGATGTGTCCCCTTACAAGGCAAACATCCTTCTCAGTCAAAGCTACGCACTGGTGTGCCATACAGCTGCATTCTTACTGACAGAATTCATTGTTAGATTCCTTACACGATCCAGTAAAGTCATTATAGGCTCCAGTATGACTTAGGATATGCACCTGCTCATGTCTGCTCTGTGTAGTCTTGTAAATCCTGTGTGCATTTGATGATATCCAAATGAACTGACCAGAGTGAGAGCCATTCATGTTGATCCACAAGCAGACTGGTAGATGAAGATCTGGCTTCTTACACAGTAAGAAGTTATTTAGCAAAGAAATTAGCTCCTGGTGACATGGCCTTTACCTCCAAGGTACTACTGTGATGACAGTAGGAGATTTTAGGATTTGCTGAGCACTGAAGAGAGGATTAAAAGTGTTATATGGGGGATCAGGTGAACTATCTGTCTCTGTTACTTTTTTGATTGTAACATCTTTGCAGGGCATGCCCAGTGGAATAATCTGCTTAGAACTAGAAATCACAGTACTTTTCTGAGCTTGAGAGTCATAAGACGTAGCTGTCGTGCTGTTCAGTGCAGTTGTGCTTGTAAGAGTTAAGTGGACCCTATTGGCAGGAAACACAGAGCCAGATATCCACAGACTAGGAACGTGAGATCGTAAATCTAGGAAGTTTTCCCATAAATTGACACTTCGGTCTTGATTTTGGCAGCCTGTTTTACTGGCTAGTCGTGGTAAATCAAGAGTAATGTCAATTTAGATTGGGTGTGGATTGCGTTTCACATGAGCAGTTGAGGGGCATATTTGTTTCCTGGGTCAGAAGTAGAAACAGGTTGAAAACACATGAAACTCATTTTGTAGCATTCAGTTGTGACTATTAGTTATGTCAGTAATTGGATATATCTGCCAGATGAAAATCCGGGGTAAATTGAATGCCTGAACAGATGCCATCAATGTATGGGACAGGGCAGTTTCAGCCACGTCGACGTTGTGCCAGTTGCAACTAGCACATGTTAAAACCTGTCTGAACTGTTGAGATACGCCAGTGATATGGGCTGTGCAAAAGCAGAATGCAACAGTCATTCTCTGGGGTTCTGCAGAGGTGGTTGTGTAGAATTGCCTCAGATGTGAACAATCAGTCTAGGGAATGTGCTGGATTGCTTCAGCATTGTGTACTTCTCTGCCATTGCCTAGAAAATGCATCAAAGAACACAATACTAAATCAGATTTTTTAAATTAACTTATTGGTAGGTGGTTTTGGTAAGGCTTTGTGAGCAGCAACTTTGAGAGTTTCAGAACTGTGCATCTTTGTGCTTGAGGAGTAGGTATGTCGATATCATAGCAGATTGTGATCAGTAATAAAGGGTGACTTAAGAGCTTTAACAGGAGAAGAACTTTTAATTGAAAATGTGATTTAACATACCTTGCATTATAAAAGTTCAAGGGAGCCAGTGCTTGTGTATAAGGATGAAGATGCTTAAGGAACTTGTGTGGAACATTTTATAATCTGTAGTGATATTAATATGTCAAATTTCAACAAGAGCATTTTGGGGCACTTTTCAACTTCTGAAAGGAGCTATTGTCAGTGACCAAAAAAAGCCCTTAACACCAGGAA